GGATGAAATTGTATTCCTGAAGTATTTGGTTTCTGGTGCACTCTATATGTCAGGTGATAGGGAAATTACACAAATACATTTGGCGGTATAATTTAAAAGTATAACAAATATAAAGAACGTTTCAAAATAACTTAAAATACTCATAATAATTCATATACCTTGCGGTAAATCATGTCAGCCATATTATGTCACGTGAAGTGAGTTTATAATATCTGATAAAACTCTTGCCTGTGTTCCAGTCCGCTACACCATGGTGTAGTGGACTGGAATTTTATTCTTATATAATTGTCAGTATTCTTATATAATTAGTATTCTTTTGTAGTCGTATTTTAAGTTGTGCGCCTCGTGTTTTATATCTGATAAAACACACTCTTACTTGTGTTTTAAATAGTACATAACATGCTTTTAACATATAAGTATAAATCGATATTAATATAATTATAAAATGGCTTATAAGTGTTTATTTCTTGTCCAGAAATCTCCATATTTCTTATAAAAACAACGCGCGAGACAGCGAGCGATGAACTAGTGCCCAGTCTTCAGTTTGTTCCAGACTCTTCCACAGTCCCTCGTTACATTTTAGTGCGGGAGAATATGCCCGTTCGCGGGTTAGGCGTTGACAGCTACAACGCGGGCGACTGGGGACGAGTCAGAGTTTGTTCTAAAATTGGCTCAGGTTTCTTCAGTATATCGTCTGAGATCAATGTTAATCTGTCAAAAATCCCCACCCTCGGGCCACTTAGAAAAAAAGTGTCAGTCCAAATCCCGACCCATGGGACCACCTGATTGATCAAATCCCCACCACCAAGAATAAACGTAACTTAAAACCACAATGGTTTCAAATATTTTCGTGTATATTATTAATACGTAATAGGATGGTTTCTCGTGAAATTTGGATAAAACAAGCACTCGTGTGTTTTTCAAAAAGCTCAAATAGCACTCGTCCTTCGGACTCGTGCTGTTTTAGTGCTCTTCGAAAAACTCACTCGTGCATGTTTTATCCAAATTGCAATCGAAACCATTCTATTACGTATACTAATAGTGTCTGTTTAGGTCTATTACAGTGCGTCTACTGTAAGTGGGACCACTAACGCCACCTAGATAACACTAACCAATCACATTGCAGAACAAAAATAGAAATCTAATCAAACTAAAGCTCGTCCAATCGAAAGAAAGCATGTAGAGTTTGCTTCAGCCGTTCAGGAAGCCAGTAACTGCAGTGTTTACTTTTCAAGTCTATTTTTACGGTTTGAAATTTGTTCAAATTGTTTTGGGCCTAATGCTGATTGGCTAATGCGCCGTTTGTTGATTTTTTCTATTTTTGTTCTGCAATGTGATTGCATGGTTAATTAGTGTTCTCTAAGTGGCCCCACTTACTGTAGACGCATTGTAACGTTTATTTTTAGTTTGTATTTTCCAACTATGCCGTTCAATACAATTATAGGTCAAAATCGGCAAAAATGTCCATCCTGGTCAGGTGGGATAAGGGACCGGTCATTATTTATGGCCGGTGGAGCGGGGCACTGAGGAGAAACATTTTCTTGGCCAAATTTTTTAGTGACCATCAAAAAAAAAATTTTTCTCCACTCAACCCCAGCACACATTCAAAAATCTTAGACCCACCCTAACTTAATTTTGTCAATTTACTTATTTAAAAGCTAAACTGACTTCTTTGAGTTTTGAGAGAACAAAAAAGCCAGCAAGTATGAACTCTGACACTTTATCATGACTGTTATGGCAGGTTCAAATGGAATACTTTGCAAATCGATATATAAAGTAAATGATATTTATTCGATCTTGATAAAACAAATAATACAAATATTTTAGTATTTTCCGACTTAATGATTTGTACTTTACCCACCCCTTGGCTTTGGTGAATTTTTATTCAACGCACCCATTTCCACCCATAAAATTTTGTTTACCCACCCAGTTTCTCTTCGCCCCCCCCCCGGCCATAAATAATAAGCGGTCCTTAAAGCCTTCCTATGGAAAATTTTATCCCATTTGACTGAGATGCCACCTCAGTAGCGTAAGGTGAGATCTCGCCTAGCCGGGCTGGCTCGATCGTTTCTCATATGAACACAAATTGAATTTTAACAAAAGGCATGCAGACCTCACTCAGATGAGTTTGCAGGTTAGGTGGGCCCATATGAACAGGCTTTATTGAAATTTTAATTTCCTATCGAGTCTCGAAGACCAACTCGTCTTTCCAGAATGTCACAAATATTCGGACCAATGTGTGACTGCATGGAATTGAGAGCAGTGGCATTTTCAAAATAATGAAAAACAATGGAACATTCTGATCACCGGATAATGACTGGACGGAATGGGGAACAATGGGAATTTCAAAGCAATAAAAAGACAATGAACATTCTGATCACTGCATCATGACTGGATGGCATGGAGAACAGTGGGATTTTCAAAACAATGGAACATTCTGATCACTGGATAATGACTAGATGGCACGGGGAATAGTGGGAATTTCAAAACAATAAAAAGACAATGGAACATTCTGATCACTGGAACATGAATGGATAGCATGGAGAACAGTGGGATTTTCAAAACAATGAAAAAGACAATGATCTGATCACTGCATGATGACCATAGATATCTTATATACACTAGATAGCGCATCAGTTTTAGTAAAATTGAAGCCAAGAATATTCCAGCGGTTGGAGTTTCCCACTCGCTAGTAAACGCTTAAAAAACAACAATAACTTTCATCACTTGAACAGTTTGAAAATGTATTTGGAATAGGTTTAACTTAATGTTTAAGTTCCCTGTTTAAGAAATAGAAAACATACGAGTCTTCTCATTTCATGGGAATATCCGGAGTCTGCAATCACGGCTTCAATTTTTGAATTGAAGACTATAATTAGATGCACTATCTAGTGTATATAAGATATCTTATGACGATGACTGGGTGGCATGGAGAACTGTGGGATTTTCAAAACAATGAAAAGACAATGGAACATTCCGATCACTGGATAATGACTAGATGGCATGGAGAACAGTGGGATTTTCAAAACAATGAAAAGACAATGGAACATTCTGATCACTGGATAATGACTGGATGGCATGAAGAACAGTGGGATTTTCAAAACAATGAAAAGACAATGGAACATTCTGATCACTGGATAATGACTGGATGGCATGGAAAACAGTGGGATTTTGAAAACACAATGGAACATTCTGATCACTGGATAATGACTGGATGGCATGGATAATAGTGGAATTTTCAAAACAATATAAAGACAATGGAACATTCTGATCGTCACTGGATGATATGGATAACAATGGGATTTCCAAAACAATGAAAAGACAATAAATATTCTGATCACTAGATCATGACTGGATGGCATGGAGAACAGTGGGATTTTCAAAACAATGAAAAGACGATGGAATATTCTGATCATTCGATCATGACTGGATGGCATGGGGAACAGTAGGAATTTCAAAACAATAAAAGACACTGGAACATTCTAATCACTAGATCATGACTGGATGATATGGAGAACAATGGGATTTTCAAAACAATAAAAAGACAATGAAATATTCTGATCACTAGATCATGACTGGATGGCATGGGGAACAGTGAGATTTTCAAAACAATGAAAAGACAATGGAACATTCTGATCACTGGATTATGACTGGATGGCATGGACAACAGTGAGATTTTCAAAACAATGAAAGACAATGGAACATTCTGATTCTTGGGTCATGACTGGGTGGCAGAGACTGGCTGGCATGGAAGACAATGAGATTTTCAAAATAATAAAATACTGAATCATGTCTAGATGACATGGAGAACAGCAGTATTCACAGTCACTAGCTCACTATGATGAAATTTTATTACCATGATTTTAGAATAATAAGAGAGTCCTATTCATAAGAATAAACAGCAAAAAGAGAACGTCATGTTATTTCCATATCCAACTGCATCTGTAATTGAAGCAAACACAACTTTGCAAACCGTGTCTGGTCTTACAAACTTGAATTTCTGTAAAATATACCATAAAATTGCGTTTTCAAACTATTTTATATACGTTTTTGCAGTCTTGTCGTATAATTCTTTCAATTTCGACCGTTTTCAATTTCATTGATTGGTCCGTTCAGCAAAGCTCCAAATTTCGACCGGAAACGATAATTTTCTGTTTTCCCAACAGCCGAGTTTGAGATTTCTGGTGTTTTCGTCATTTCAATTGTGGGCAACGGGATATTTGACTGTACCGGTCTTCCACCCATAAAGTAACTGCACCAATATCTCACGTGGCAATCCCCCTGCGGAGCTGACATGACGTAGCTCATTTCCGTGGCAACGAGACAACCAATCACGAGCAGTTTGAGAAACATTTTAACCAATTACAGTAAACTATAAAATAAATAGCAGGCTATCAACGGAGGAGCCTTGAAACACGTGCATTCACACAGGCTAAACTAATGGTTTTTATGCTTCCATAAACTAGCCAGAAGATATCTATATGCAGAATTAAATCTATATAGATGAGCACGTGTTCCTTGACAAAATTACTTTCTCGTGTGTACGCTCGACAATTTTCCCTTGACAAGTTTTGTTGCTCGTGTGCACAGAATGTTGTTAACAGGGTTCGTACATGTCAGGAAGAGTCAAATTCAAGGACTTCTTAAGGACACTCAAGGCCATGTATCAGCAAATTCAAGGACTAAATACTGAAGAGAAGGCGTTAGAAATCAGCAAAATCTGACGTTGAATTGTTCAAAACGTAACTTTATAATGAGGTCAGATATACACCCTTTTCACAAATGGCTGCAGATTAAAAATTATTTTATGTGCATATAAATTGGCCCAACTAGCCTCGTACTCATGTTAAGATTTCAAAGGAATTTCTACCCAGAAGCGAGGCTAGTTGGGCCAATTTATATGCACATAAAATAATTTTTAATCGGCAGCCATTTATGAAAAGGGTGTATGAACATGCAAAATCAGTTCAACAAAATGTCCGTCTTGAATGTCAAACAATTTCAGAAAATATCCAAAAACTAAAGCAAGAAGAATTCAAGGACATTCAAGTACTTCTTTAAAAATTCAAGGACATTCAAGGCCTTGAATTTTTGTTTTCAAATTCAAGGACATTCAAGGACTTTTCAAGTTTTGTACGAACCCTGTGTTAAACATTTATCTGACGTCATGACCGCCTTTCGTTTGCCAAAAACCATAGAAGTATTTCTTGTGCACTTGTCAAATTTTCCTTGGCGGCCGTACACATGAACAAATTTTCCTTGTTCCAAAGCTGGCAGGAAATTACCGTACTGTATTTACTCGTTTGAGCGCCGCCCCTGATTGAGCGCCGCCCCCGAATGAGCGCCGCCCCCGAATGAGCGCCGCGCATTTGAGATCAATTTTTTTAAAAGAGCGTCGCCCCCGAATGAGCGCCGCACTAAATAGTGTAAAAACTTTCTGCCCGTCAAAATGGGGACATTTAGTGACAAAAACATTTAAAACTTGTTTATTTTATTGTTAAAAGTTCTTCTTATAATTCACAAATAAAATATTTTTTAAAGAGCGCCGCCCCCGATTGAGCGCCGCATCTGAAGCTCTGAAAAATTAAAGAGCGCCGCGGCGCTCAAACGAGTAAATACGGTATCAAACGAGTAAATACGGTGCCAACTGAATTCAAATTAAGTTCAAACGGTTCATAACCGTCGGCTATATCTTGGCCAACCATCCATAGGCAGCCCAAAAATGCGTGGTGAACATTTTTACCCTCGCACGTGGCTCTCGGGTGTGCATCGAGTCTACACACGCAAAAATCTCACAACTTGTCAACAAGATGTGTTCGCAACAGGTTTGCAGCAAGCTTGTCAACAAGTTGTAACAATGCTGTTATTTTATCAAGTTGCTACAAGCTTGTCACTCACAACTTGTTGACAAATTGTTGAATTGCAGGACGATAACTAGTTGTTGGAACAACTTGGAACAGCATTGCTACAAGTCTGCTGCAAGTTTGTTAAAACTTGTAAAAACACGTAAAAAACTTAAAACTTGTTAAAACACGTAAAAATCTCCCATCTTGTAACAAGTCTGCCAACAAGCCGTCATAAGAGGAATCAAGTGCATAATTCTCCAACTAACAGAACGCATTTCTCGAAACCTAATTACCGGCGCAATCAGGCCGCCTTAAACGCCAACATGGATCGTCATAGGAGGAATCCAATGCATAATTCCTCAACTAACAGAACGCATTTCTCGAAACCTAATTACCGGCGCAATCAGTTTTCCGAACCTAAACATCAATATCGTCAAGCAAATTTTCCCTCAAAGATTTTTCGAAGCGGTCGCTATCGGTGGATTCCGAAACCAAGAACAACAGCAGACAATACAGATACAAGAGCAAGTCAAATCAACCCGGCATACAAAGTGAATCCTTTCCAATCAAAGTCAGAGTTACAGCTTGGAGAAACGGAGTCCTGGGAAGCTTACCTACAGCTGGTCAACCGCACCTTGGACCAGTTTGGAACCCTCGTTTAGGCGCAATCCAACGGACAAGTGATAATTATACATCTCAGAGAAGTGTAAATTTTAATAATTTAATTAACATTAAGACTAATACAAACCCCACCATTGGAAAGTCCTCAGTCCCGTCCTTCCTCTTGTCAAATGTATGCCATATAACAAATAAGGTAGACGAATTAGCTGCTGTTGTATCGATCTATGACCCATCCGTGGTAATGATAACTGAATCTTGGCTAAGTGATGATATCGGTGATTCCTCGGTTAAGATCGGTAATAAATACAACATATTTCGTCGCGATAGAAAGTCTCCTGGCGGTGGAGTGATCGCCTACGTGAATAATTGTTTACCAGCAGAGCGTATGACTCACCTCGAAGAAGAAAACAAAGAAGTGATATGGTTGTTGTTAAAACCCCCAAGAACCCCTAGACCTTACAGTACAATCGTTGCTGCTGTTGTGTACTACCCTCCTGGTCAATCCGCCGAACAAGCAATCGATATGAATGAATACTTAACTACTTGTATAGATAGTCTCTTGCGCGAACGTCCTTCATCTGGAATTGTTATAGCTGGGGACTTCAATCAACTAAAATTAAGAGAACTATGTAACAGATTTAATTTAAAAAGATCCGTAACTAAACCGACTAGAGGACACAACATTCTTGATCAAATCCTTACAAATATGCTCCCTCTCTTTGACACTGTTAGCCATCTCCCCCCAATCGGACGCTCCGACCACCAATGTCTTCTAATCAAGCCCATTAAAAGACAGAAAACTCCGGTTACGTCAAAAAAAATTAGATTGATGAAACGAGCAAATTTAAATGACCTCTCCCTGAATATAGCTTCTGAAGATTGGACTACTGTATATTCAGCACTGGATGTGGATGAGAAAGTATCAGCTTATAACTCCATTATAATCAAGATGCTTGACGAGTTCTTACCTGAAAAAACCATCAGAGTACATCACTCTGATAAACCGTGGATCACCGGTAATATTAAAATGCAAATCAAAGCTCGTCAGAAGGCCTTTTCTCGTGGTGATCAGCCAAGATACAAACAACTATGCGAGAAAGTGGCAAATCTTATAGCTAAAGCTAAAGCCACCTACTATCGGTCCAAGGCCTCAGAATTTCGTACCTCGAATCAATCGAAGTGGTATAACTGTATCTACTCTTTAGTAAATGCCGAAAACACAACCCACACCCAATTTCCACACGGGCCCGAAAACCTAGACTTATCCGACTTAGCTGAAAAACTTCAGAAAGCCTTCACTAAACCATGGTCGGACCGTTACACGAATGTCGCCTTTGAAATACCTGAAGTGAACCACCCACATAAGAATAACAAACCACCCCTTCCTTCTATTGGCCAAGTTAAAGCGGTCTTAAAACATCTTAATCCAAGAAAAGCAACTGGCATCGATAAGGTTCCTGCATGGATGCTCAAACAATACCACGAAGACCTAGCTCCTGTGGTTTATGACATTGTGTGCTGTAGTATAAGTCAATGTTGTTATCCATCACTCTACAAACATGCCCTAATTTCCCCTGTTCCTAAAGTGCAACCGCCGAGAGACATTAACAATGATTTCCGCCAGATATCAGTCTTACCCCATCTTGCCAAGATCCTGGAAAAGATCCAGCTCCAGTTAAATATTGAAGACCTGAAAATTAAGAATAACCAGCACGCGTTTACTCAACATCGAAGCACAGTCTCTGCGTTAATATCAACTACCCAAACCTGGTTTAATGCCACTGATTGTTCAAAAACAGGCAAAATGGGGGTTCATGCGGCCTTCATTGACTTTCGTAAGGCCTTCGACCTTGTGGATCACAATATTCTTTTGAACAAATTAGCAGCTATGAACATAAATAAACCCTTCTGGTTATGGATTAAAAGTTTCCTTTCCGGAAGAGTTCAACAAGTAAATCTCAATGGTACCTTATCATCCATTGCAACATGCCCGGCCGGAGTCCCGCAAGGCTCTGTAATATCTCCCATTCTTTTTAATACCTACATTGATGATTTGGAGGACGCCTTACCAGAACAACTAAAAGTCAGTACGAATAAGTATGCAGATGACTGCACACAACACCAAATAGTGAGCGTAGATTCTAATAGTAATTTACAACAATCTATCAATGAAGTAAATAACTGGGCGGTGTTAAATAAAATGGCAATTAATGCTAAAAAAACTAAGGACATGTGGATCTCGTTCACGGACGCTATACCTGAACCACCACGTCTTCGTATTGGAAATGAGTTAATAGAAAGGGTCAACGCTTTTAAATTACTTGGCGTGTCGTTCCAAAATAATCTAAAATGGAACGCACATGTTGAAGAGATTACACGTAAAGCAAATAAACGCCTTTACCATCTTAGAGAATGCAGGAAATCGCAGTTACCAGCTGAAGTCGGTATTATTACCTATCAATCCAAAATAAGACCAATTCTCGAGTATGCATCACCTGTCTGGGCGGGACTCCCTAATTACCTGCGAGATGAAATAGAGCGGGTTCAATCCAGGAGCTTAAGAATCCTTGGCCTGGAAAAAGATTACCTACCACCGTTGAACGAAAGAAGGGAAGAGGCAACTAGTCGAGAAGTTGATAGGTTTATGAACGATCCACACCATCCCTGTCGCAGTGTTTTGCCAAAATTAATTAACAATCAGTACAATTTAAGGAACATTGACCGGAATCGCAATATATCATTCTTCTCAGGAACTGAAAGGCATAAACATTCATTTTCAGGTAGAGCTTGTAAATATGTATAAATAGTTTTAACTTATTAGAAGAACTTATTAGATTAAAGAATTTATTAGTTTTAACTTCTTAGTTAGTTTTCTAAATTATCTTACAACAATTTGTAATATAAAGACATATCCGCAGCATATATACTTTCTTAAACAAGTAATTGTAAGTCCATTGTACTTTTTTATCTTAAGATGGATGAATAAAGCTATTATTATTATTATAACAAGATATATTCGCGCTGCTTGTTACAAGATGTCAACAGGTTTGGAACAACGTGCTGACAACTTGTAACAACCTTGTCGAAATTATCAGACTTGTTGCAAGGTTATTCTGAGAAGTCCGTTACATCACAGAGTAAAGATATATCAGAGAGGAAACAGACACCTCGATAACCTGAATTTCTGTGTCACGCCGTCCACGCAGGTTCCACGCGCCACGCAAAATCTTCCAGCCAGTGCCGTCGCTGAAATTTCATAGCAAAAGATAGGGAAAACGCCGTTCGAAAGGTGAAAATCGCTTTTTTTTTAAAATGAGATACCCATGGAAGTTTTGTTCAATAAATTATTGTAGAATAACGGTAAGCGATCACTTTTATTGATTTCTTTTTATTCAAAGTGTTAACATTACATTTTATTTTGCAAAAGTTTGTTTATTTCCCTATCTATTCCTTATTAAAATCGTGAAAAGCACTGGCTGAAGGTTTGAGATGCTCATATATCAAAAACAAAGCAGCAAATGATATAAATGCCTCAAAATATATCTCTTGCATAAAAAAAACATGTTTACTTCTATAATACGTATAGTTTTTTCCTCTGCATGGTCAAAATTTAATAAAATAGCGAATTAATATAATTTTCTATAATAATAGACTGAATATACCGGCGTGACACAATTTGCCGCGTGTTTCCCCTCTGTATATCTCTTCTCTGTGGTTACATGCTTGATGTAACAAGATTTTTACAACCTTGTGTTGACAACCTGGTAACATCCTTGTTATATCAATGGCTGTAACAAACTTGTTGGCACAGTTTTGTAACAAGCTGATAATGCCATCAAGCTTGTTACAAGTTGTTAACAGCGTGTTCCAAACTTGTTACAACAAACTTGGAACAAGCAGTGCGAACACAACTTGTTAACATGCAGACTTGTAACAACTTGTTTGCAGACTTGTTACAAGCTGTGCGTTTTTACGCGTGTATGACATCATCACAGACTAGGTGACCCCAGCATAGTTTTGACAAAATTTTGCAAAAAAATTCCGAAAAGAATCCCATTGCCAGAAAAACGCGACATGCGATTGCGCAACACCTCAAGCGCATGTATCCGATTGCTTTTAATTAAAATATTTTTATATGAAATTGTATTAGAATTGCACAATTATTTAAAATATTAGCTAAACTTTTTGTGAATCGGAACAAACGAAAGCAAGACATTATACAGTAAATATCGGAGAATATTATCCACCAAATAGTTACCGTATACTACAAATCGCGATTTGTCCCCTGCGAATTTTATGAAAGTCAGTTCTCTATAAGGCCGTGACTGTAATAATACATGTCAAGTAGACGACAGTGACTATAAAACAGGCAAAAAAAATTAAATGAACGGACAAAATTTACAAACGAAACTTGAAGTTGCGACTCGAAGATGTCTAGTATCGTGATATATAAATATTTCGTTCGCTTATCTTATTCCCGTTTGTCCCTCGTAAAATATATTTCAACGCACACGAAAGCGTTCGCAAATCCTCCGCTAAAGGAGCAAATATCTTGCACATTGAAACAGCCATAACTTCTCGAATATTTGGGGTATTTCAAAACTTTAAAGACCAAATTAAAGCTCGTTTTCAAAATTATAGACTCCATGATGTTTTGTTTATGTTCGGAGCATGAAATAATATATATTCGCCACTGACCAAACCGTTGTGTGGCTTCATGTTTGTGAGACTTCAATACTGTACTGGGCAGCGGTATGCTGCATTTTCCCACGAAATTTAAATAACGCGCCAACTGCAAATACTCAAAAGACCTCAAAAATGTCCGAGTATTTGAGCATCCCGCAGAAGCAAAAATTTAAGTCAGGGATTCAGTATTCTACATGCAACACTAAGTGATCACCCGAGCCTGATTCCCAATATTTATAGTAAATTGTATTACTAATACAGCAATACAATAAGATTCCTTCGCTGCGCGTTGTAGACAATACAAATTCCTACATTCGATGAGGTTCTTACGGCTTTGAATGATATAAAAACGAAGAAATATTCTTCTCTTCCCTTGTCCCTGCCTAGTTGTTTTAAAGGTAGTTTAGACTTTAGAGGGATCCAAGACCGATAACTGAACTTCGACCTTCGTCTTGCTTCCAATAGCATGGCCATAACTCGGTGCGATTTCGGTCAATTTCTTTTCCTAAATTATTTTTTTGAAGCTCGTTTCTTGTTTGTCTTTAAAAACATGCTTTTAAGTCATACGCGCAAGTTTTTATCATTAAATACTGCTGAAATCTCGGGTTTTAAGCAATCCTAATGAAACCAAAGGCCAGACGAAAGCCGCGGGATATTGATAAACCTCCGGATCGTATATCACAAAATATTTCAATTACTCATGCGCAACACTTGACACGCTGACAAAAGTGCGTGTGCCTCGCAGTCGCGTATGTCGCATATTTCTGGCTATGCGCTTTTTTAACATCCTTACAATGAACTTTTGAAGTTAAAACCCATGGAGAACGTATTACCATGAAGTGTTTGAAATTATGTATATTTCATATTGTTTTTGCTTGTAATTTGCAAAATATTCATAATCTAGTAAACGTAATAAATTTCCGTTAAAAAATCTTGCCAACCTTGTCATATAAATGATAAACAAAGTAGACTCGATGCACGCGTGAGGGTAAACGTTTTCACCACGCATTTTGGGCAGGGCCAACATTACATGAAATGTCATATACCAAAATTTGAGTTATCCTTTCATAAATACAATAAAACTTATTTAAATTCATACAGCTGTTCTAGTTTTTTACGTTCACCGCAGTATGTGAGTAAATTAAGACAAAATGCATTACCTTGTAAATACCTTGGACTGACTTTTATAGTTTTGAACGTCTTCGCAATGCGTAACTGTATTGTTTAAATAAAATTGAAAAACATCCGTATATATATAGCTTTTTACTTTGCGTAACTAAGTATTGGATATATAATAGAAAATATTTCTCATCGCTCTAGGGCCTGATGAGATTTTAGGAGGGTCAC